CACAGTATGTACAATCTATCCCTCCAGAGAAGCATATTCTTAAAACTTTAAGTGAGTTAATTTTAGGAAGTGAGCGAGGGGAATACATAAATACTGTATATGATGGAGTGAAAAAGATGTCAGAGACAGAAATACACCACGACAAAAATGTAAGAATTCTGCTCACTGGAGTGCAGGTTCATAATAGTATGTAGGAGTTCTTTTTTCTGTATATATTTTATCTTTATCACTTTTAATCTGCTCCTTATTCTTCCCTGCTTTCAAGCATCCTTCTGAACACACCCTCTCCTCTTTCCCTTTAATGATATCTTATTTTTCTACACTTTTTTCATCTCTTAATCCTTCTCCATTACAGGTGACGGTTTAACAATGCAATGACCTCATTCTTGACAGCAAACATCAGAGTTTCATTTGAAGTCTCACTGAAGCCTTCAGTCCGAGACTCAAGCTTTTGCTTCCAAGCTGAGCTGTGACGGATAAAAAGCAGCGGGGGTCCTCAGAGATTTGTAAAATAATAAAAAGGTGGAATCTATTTACCCCTGTTATTCTGAGATATGAAATAAAATGTGCTTCCAACCATCCTGCCTGTTCCACTTCACACCAGAGTAATCACATGAAATGGGTCCTGATTATTATGGCAGAGAAAGTCGGCTGATTGAGGACAGAGTGCAGAGAGAAAGCAGAGCAGAACGAATACAGATGGAAGCTGGAGGAGCTGCCTTACTCTGAGGGGCTGAGTGCTACTTTTAGTGACACTAATTATGTATTGCATCGTACATACTAAATTAATAAGTGTCTACCTTTTAACAAAGGTCTACATACTTTACATTAACCACTTTACATTAACCAAATCTGCTTTGACATGGAGATTCAATGTGTCAAAAATCTAACGTACTGTTGAATGATTAATTAAAATACAAATGAAATGACTGGAGAAAAGCAAGGAGTGAAAAGGCTTTCAGACTGGTGCGGCAAATTGCAACAGTTAAAATTATAATACTCAATTAAGCCATGTTCTTTAGTAAAATTAATTCACTTACATTAAATAAAGGCTCATTGAGGTACGACTTTAGTCACAAATCCCGTTCAGCATATAGGCAGGTGATTTATGCAGTTTGTGCACTTCCTGACAGAGGTGTCAAGTAGCAAACTACAAATACTTTGTTACTGTACTTAAGTCCACTTTTTAGGTATCTATACTTTACTCCATTACTTATTTTTCTTCCTACTTCTGACTTCTACTCATTACATTTTTACACAAGTATCTGTCCTTTCTATTTCTTACATTTTTAAAACAAATGTTACTCGTTACTCTTGGTTTTGGTTTAATGTTTATAAATATTTATTTCACGTCATGTGCGCCATCCAGTGCAGATCATTGGCGGCATACACATCTAGTGAAAACTAGTGGAATTGGATGAGTGATATAACACCAACACTCATTGGTTAGCTAAAGGAAATCATCAGAAGCAAACAGGTGTTCTTCAGACTGTAAATGTGAATTATCTATGACATGCTACAATGTCAGATTCAGAAAAGGATGTTTTTCAGGGTGTTTTTCTAAAGGTTACTTTATACTTTTATACTTTAAGTAGTTTTTGAAGCACATACTTTTTCACTTTTACTTGAGTAAAAAGGTCAAGCTGATACTTTTACCAGAGTGTTTTTAAACTGCAGTATCTATACTTCTACTTAAGTAACAAATGTGTGTACTTTTGACACCACTGCTTCCTGATAGTAAAGAATTACAATAGTCCAGCCTTGAAGTAACAAATGCAAGGACTAGTTTCATCACCCCTGGACTATAGTATTCCACAGATGAAAGAAGGAAATTCTAGAAACCTCTTTGATATGGGATTTAAATGACAGGTCCTGATAAAAAATAACACCAAGATTTTTTACTTTATTATTTTAAATCAGTTTAATCCCATCCAAATGAAGTGACTAATCAGCTTCTTTTTCAAGGACTTTGGTCCAAAGACTATAACTTCTGTTTTGTCTGCATTCAGGAGCAGGAAGTTAAGAGTCATCCAGGTTTTTTTATGTCTTCAAGACATGCCTGTAATTTATGTAATGGGTTAGATTAATCTGGATTTATAGACAGATATAGCTGGGTATCATCAGCATAACAGTGAAAATTAATCCCATGCTGTCTAATAACTCTACCGATTGGGAGCACATATAAAGAAAAGAGAATTGGTCCTAGCACTGATCCCTGTGGTACTCCACAGGTAACCCTTGAGCATGAGGAAGATTTGTCATTAAAATGAACCAACTAAAAGCGATCAGATAGATACGATTTAAACAAACAAGTCTAGTGCTGTTCCTTTAATTCCTAAAAAATATTTAAGTCTTTATAAAATAATATTATGATGAACTGTATCAAATGCAGCTCTTAGATCTAACAGGACAAATACAGATGCAAGTCCATTTTCTGAGGCCATGAGAATATCATTAGTGACTTTCACCAGAGCTGTTTTATTGCTATGATGAGCTCTAAAGCCAGACTGAAACTCTTCAAAAAGTTCATTATGGTGTAAGTGGTCGCACAATTGTTTGGCAACTACTTTCTCAAGAATTTTAGATAACAAAGGAAGATTGGATATAGATTTGTATTCGACCAAGTAATCTCGGTCAAGAGACAGTCTTTTAAAGTAAAGGTTTAATTACAACAACCTTAAAGCCTTCGGTGCATATCCCTGTAACAGGGATAGATTAATCACATCTAAAATAGAGGAGGAGATCAAAGGGAATACCTCCTTAAATAACCTGGTTAGAACTGGAGCTAACATACAATTTGAAGGCTTAGTTCAACTGGGTCAAAGCAGTCTAAACACGGTTCAGATTCTATGGCTACATCAGATGCTGCCTCACCTTCCAGAGATAAACCAATCATAGTTAGAGGAGTGCTTATGATCTCATTTTTAATGAGATCAATCTTATTTATAAAGAATCCCATAAAATCATTACTGCTAAGAGCAGGTGGAATGGACGGTTCAACAGAGCTATGGCTCTGGGTGAGTTTGGCAACTGTATTAAAAATTATCTAGGATTATTCTTATTCTCCTCTATTAATGAAGAGAAATATGCTGCTCTTGCTGTACGAAGGCAGTAAACTATTTTTCCAGACTAGGTAGGATTCCCATAAGCCTGTGGATTGCAGATTTTCTTTTCAAAGAAAAACAGTACTCATCATTTTTCAAAGATGTGTATTTTCTAAGGCAGTACACAGAGAACTAGCAACCCCATCAACAAAATTATCCACCCATGAAGGGGAATAAACTAAACTTCTGCCCTCTGCAGCACTGCTTAGCAACACAGAGGAGAGAAAAGGTGAAGCAGATTCTTTGAAATTTAAAACTGCACTATCTGATAGTGAGCTGCTAAAGTGAAACCTTTTGGTGGAGGAGAACTCTGTTAAAGTAATCTTGAAGGTTATTAAAAATTGGTCAAAGGACAGGATTGTGAGGAAATATTGTTAGTTCTTCACATCCTAGCCATATGTCAGCACAAGGTCCAAAATGTGAAGATGAGAATGTGTGGGACTACGGTATTCACATTTTGAACAAAGCCAATAGCATCTAAAATAGCATTAAAGGCTGTACTTAAGCTATCACCTTCTATGCCAGCATGGATGTTAAAATCTCCCTCTATGATGACCCTGTCAGTATTTAATACCAAATCAGATTGGAACTCTGAACACTAATCTAAAAATTCAGAGTAAGGACCTGTTGGACAATAGAAGGTTACAAAAAGAAGAGGTTTTCTTGCTTTGTAATTTGGATGTGGGAAACTAAGCGTTAAATGTTCAAAAGAGTTGTAGTTATTAACTGCCTTTGGAGTAATCAGTAAGTCAGACTGAAAGATTGTTGCTACTCCTCCTCCAGAATTTTTGGGTATGTGAAAATTTAAATAACTAAAATTAGTTGCTTCATTTATGCTCACATAGTTCTCTTGCTGCAGCCAAGTTTCTGTAAAGCAATATAAATCAAGATGATTATCACAAATCAAGTCATTAACTAGCAGACTTTTTGAAGAAAGGGATGTTACTTATGTTAATAAACCACATTTAATCGTTTAAACTTTTTCCCCAGTTGGAGTTATTTAAATTTTAATTAGATTATCATGATTTACTCCTTTGGGAATCTTTTCTAATTTTATTAGATTTTGGTCGTGGGCAAGACACAGTCTGGATAGAGTAATGAGAGGGTAACAGTAGAGAAACTGCAGAGAGGTGTGTTACACTACGACTTTGCTTCCTGGTCTGCACCCTGGGTTGTCAGCGTTTTGCAGGACTAATAAATTTGGCCAGATTTCTAGAAAGAAGAGCTGCACGATCAGGAGACGAGACAGACACAAAACCCTCTTTCCACTGGCTGCCAGGATCCAGGACATAAAACATGGAGTTAACTGAAAACACTGAACAGACAAACTAACAGAAAACAAATAATGATCTAACGAATATAAGGCAAAGGAAACAGATGAATAAAATAAATAATAATTACAGCAGGGAGGGAAACGGCAGGTGAATGAAACAAAGAATTAAGGTGGAGGAATCAGGCCGGATCATGACACCAAGAGGTAAATAAAACATTATTTGGTAACATAATATTTTATGAAATAACTTTCCTTAATCAGAAATCAATAACTGTTTAGGTAATTGAATCCTAACTTTCTGTGATTCTTCACGAGGGAATGATTCAGGGAAAAGGCTACTTAGCTTCTTTAGCGATGTTTGGCTTTAAAGACAGTGGCAGTAGTAGCAAGCAGACATGAAGGGACTCCATTAAAAGGACTATTTGGTCTTGTTTTAGCATTCAGATGTAATGAGCATATCAGGAAACCCATCAACCAATTACTAATGTCAAATTAGTGTTTCATCCCCAATTAAAATTGTTCGTAAATAGGCAGTAAAAGGAAAACTGAATGAGACAAGATCTGCATGATCTGAGAATGATGGAGGAAGAAACACATATCTAATCACAAACACATATATCTAATCATGTATGATTAGATATATGTGTTTGT